ATTTATTAAACTGTGTGAACCGCACTTAGTGATATAATTGTCTCACGGGGTAGAACGCAAGTCAAACGTCGAAGGGTTAAAAAAAAAACAATTTATGACAATTATTTTTATATTTACTTATCTACCAACAAAAATAATATGGGTATTGCCGTGTGGAACTTTTAGTGAATAAAGTTTTTATTGTATTTTTATACGGGTTTTCGAAATATATTTTTTATGTGGCCACCAAGAGCCAACTATTACAGCTGACAGTGCATATTATATTATACCCTATGAGACGGTGCTGATTAATCGTTAAACCAACCCATACGCATCGTCACTTATATTGGTGCAGAAATATTATATTTCTTTTTACATTACCTTGTTTGTAATTTAAACATGTACCTATAGAAAGAGATAAAACATTAATATAAAACGTTAAACATTTAAGCATATTATTTTTCAATTATTTTAATTACCTATCACCCATGTGTTTAAAATCTGGGATACTGGTGTATTGATTTTAAAACAGGGATTCCGAATTGGTCATTTTAATCCGAAACGGTATTAATAATATTTTATTCGCACCAAATGGATTATAGCATTTTTTTCAATCAGGATTAGATGATTAGAATTTACAGAAACAGTGCACTATGCCATTAATAACAAAACAACATAACAATGGATAAGTGACGGTCGAATTTTTTTTCCCTTAATAAGTCACGAGGAATTATACATCCAAAATAATTTGTTTTATATGTTATAAATTAATTGTAACGGTTAAATCAGGGAGATCCTTATATATTATAGTCATCGACAAGTCCATGAACTACAGATGGGTAGGTACCTATTATATTTAAAATGTATATAACCTTCGGTCGAAACACGGCCGGAAATAAACATAATCGGTTTCTTATGCACGTTTAGAAAATATTTTTTCACCATACGTACCATCGATAGCGGTAAGAGAATCAATCGAAAAGGTGGTCAATATTAAGTGTATTAATTCTGTAGTAAGCAAGTTACTACTTAACAATAAAACCAAATTCCACAGGTGCATAATTATTATAATAGACGGTAGACCGGCATAGTCGGGCATTAAGAATGGAAATGGGTCCTTCAAACCTATGAAGACAGGCTCACTGAATAACTCAGGATGATAGGGTCAAAATAGGCGGTCGTCATATTTGATAGAAATACTGGACGCATACGATGAAATTAAAATATTGAAGAGTAAAATGACTTATCATAAATTAGTAATACATTCAATCAGTTATACAATCAATCGTAAATGCGTGGGCTAGAATGATGACCACACGAATGACATCCGTGAGAACGGAGATATCGTATATGTAGGCAAGGGGTACGGGGGACCTCATATATAAGGGAGCCCGAAGCGGCCTGTTTTCAGACGTGTACTACCACCCATTAGAGCAAGCACCTTCACGTCACTTTGTACAATATTATTTGGACTTAGAAAATTTATTGAAGTGTATTAATAAACTTACAATATACAACAACTGTCTTATTATTCATTCATCATCCACGACTTCAACATCAGATAAAGCGTCTGCGACCGGCATCTATAACGTTTTGGTAGCCACTTATTTACTATTAGCACTACGATAGTAGGTACCAAGCACCAATATCGTTACAATTCAATGATATAATAATATAACGATTGCAGTATGCGTATGACATTATAGTAATATAGTGGATTATTATAATATTGTGGACCGGCGCCGACGCATGCACCCATCAATACACAATTGTTAGTTGTTAAGCTGTTTTCGATTATGTTTACTAAATATTAATTGAGGACCGTTTTTTACATGGTGGAAATATGTACACAGTGCATTTGCATTCCAATATTTAGGTGGCCATTTATATATATATATATATATTATATATATATGGCTATTTTTATTTTATAGTTTTGTTACCTATTGAAATCGTTACACAAATTTGTAATAAAATAGCAACGTTTTGATGGTTTTAGAAATTTTAATGAAAAAAGAGATAATTTTGTTGAATTTCAATTGTTATCAAGACATATTTATTGGACATTTAAGGATACTTTAATATTAGTTATCTTAAATATTATCTTCTGAATTTTATTTGCTCAATCGTCATTTTTATTGTAAAAAATATAAATAATCACATTTTGCATTATCTATAATCTATATAATATTATATATAGGTACCAACTTAATTGTTTTAATTTTAATATTAAAGAAAAAATATTCAATCATTAAAATTGTATAATGTTAGATAATAATTCTTAAATTTCGAGTATTTATTTGTTGGTTGACTGATTATGGTTGGCTATTTGTTAATTTTTTTGTGAAATTTTAAAATCACGACCTTGTATGAATGTTATTATATTATGATGATGACGATTAAATATTGTTATGTACCAAATTTGAATAAAAGTAATACCTATGAAATCTAATAATTTAATTATATAGGTAATTAAAATACTAAATACATATTTTAAACTATTTAAAAAAAAAAAATCAATATTTATGCATCTTGCAGTTTTGCAGTTCATATTGGATCGGCACAGAGAAAAAATAACCAAAAGTACAATATAATATATTATATAGTATATAGGTAAATATAGTATATTATATATTTGTCGGTCGAGTAAATTTTCCCAATCTATTTTTTCTTGGATTCTGGATATTTAAATACAATATGTAGGTACACAATAAAGTTATTAAAGTGTTTATAAAAAAAAGAGATTAAAAATTATTTTTGTTATTTATTTTTACGTTTACTTAATTTATTTATTATATAATAAAATAATGCATCTCTGATTCTGAATGATCATTTTATTTAACAAAAAGCACATAATATGATGTATTTTATACATACATTATAATATATACAAATGTACAAGTTAAATATGTTTAGGGTACAGTACTACAGTCAAATGAATTCCCCTCCATCACATATTCGCTCCGGAACCGCCCCTGAAATGAATAAAGTCAAATAGCAATACTGTCAAAACTCGAAGTAGATAATATGTTGATAAGAAACAGCAGAATAATGGTCAGAAATTAGACGTATAGACGCGTGATAATATCGGAGCTGACATCACTACACGATGACAACAATACGGGAGTTTCAGTAAGTACATCGAAATACTCCATGAGTTTGTGATAACCAGAGACATTTATATAATATGGACGTGGATGTTTGTGATGATGTAGATTGTAATTATTGCATGACGTATTTTCTAGAAGACAGCCCCAGATGTTTGAAACATTTATTGGTCATATACTACTTAAATAATAATATATACTACGTCACGATAGTGAAACCGAAAAGTTGAAACTTCCGAATGTTTTATGGATTCACAAGACGTGTTGACAGATGTATAATATTATATTATAGGTATCAGATCATATTCCAACTGGGATCGTACGAAATTAGATAAATGTATCTATGTGAGTAAATATTTTACGAAATTAACGATAAGTGATCATAAATAAAATTAATGGTGAGAGTATGTTTTGCGGTCGGTGGTTTTACTAAGGGTATGATAGAATATTGCACTGCTTCATTTTGTCAAATTGCACTGACAGAAATACATAATGTTAAAATTTCAATATTGCCCTCGTTCCGATGAATTTAGTGTAAAACCTATATTTTATGAACGTATAATTTATATGTGTGGATGGCTAGAAGAATAAATTGTGTTTTTAATATATTATTTAATATTTATTTTTTCTATCATAAATAATAATATTAAATTTGTTCATTTTTCAAAATTAATAAACAATAATAGGTGTATGTAATGGGTTTTGAATAAACAGCTGAAATCGAATACGGAATAATACATGACTAAAATTTAAAATATGGTTTGGTTCGGTGCGATGGCTGCAATCAGTGACAGCCGGGTTCTTAGTGGCAAAAACCTTGCCACACATACACGTGTTGCAACCAACAGTGTCGAAGGTACCAACCGTTTCAACCCCTACTAACCTTACAAGGTTGTTACATTGCTAATGGCTATAGTTCCAAGCTCAAGACCAATAATAAAAAAAAAAATTCAGAATTTTTATCATTTTACTACATTAATATTGGTGTTAGACAAAGACAGAAAATCACCGATTTCAATCCCCTTAAACAAATAAGCAACGTGTCATGGGAGCTAATTATTAAATAGTTTTTGTATATTTACCTCAGGTACCATTAAATTTATAGATTAGTTAACCCTCTAAAATGACGATACAGAAATGGAAGCCACCACGGTAAACGAAACTATCAAAAATGCCTCGCTCCAATATTAATCAAATCAAAAATACTAGGTTAGATACAGGGAGTTTTGTGAAAAAAATATTTAAAATAGAACTGACTGATTAATTAATTTACAAAATATCTACTGAGCTACTTAAACTTAATAATATCTCACCAAATGCTTACATAGCTGTTCATTAAGTTCTTAAACGAATCAAAAGCCAAATATTTTACATATCAATTAAAAGAAAATAAACCATATCGGATTGTTATCAAAATATACATCCGACATCCCACTACACAACTCGACTTAAAAACATTATGAATGTTAGTCATAGAACATCCAAAACACTACTACCTCTATTTTTTGTTGATTTAGAACCGGAATTCACAACAAAGATGTATTGAAGCTCAATCCAGGGGCGTCCTCAAGGGGGGGGGCGAATGGGTCAGTCGCCCCCTCCATGAGCTATTTTTTCTTTCTTAAAATGTTCATAATTTTTATTAAAATATAATACTAGGAAAAAATTATATAAGTCCGCTGATTTAGTGATATCGCTTTATATTGTTATCACTACGAAAAAAAAAACGAAATATGTTATCAGTTATCACGGGGCAGTTGCTATCTAAGGTACCTATTATTTGCTGACAAGGGCGGTAAAGATAAGAATGTGACAAACAAATTTGTGAACTTTCCGTTAAATAAATATGCAAAAATATTGGGTGTAGAAGGAGATTTTCAATCACATAGTAGGCATTTATACCACAAAAATGCAATGCAAGTAGGTATTGATTTCTCAGACCGTTACAAAAATCCTCAAAAAGAAATAATTAACTTAATGAGTACACAACGAATGCAACAAATAACTGAGAATCGTGAGAGACTCAAACCAATTATAGAGTGTATTATATTTTTGGGACGCCAAAATTTAGCATTTAGAGGACACCGTGATCAAGGTAAATTAAATACAAATATTGATTTATTGCCAACCAATGAAGGTAATTTTAGGCAATTACTAAAATTCAAAATAGCTTCTGGGGATAAAATATTAGAAAAACATTTACAAACAACTAGTGCTAAAGCTACTTATATTTCTCACACTACACAGGAACAGTTAATTGAGTGTTGTAAAGAAGAAACATTGTCACATATTTTAAATAATGTTAAGGAATCTTGCTATTACAGTGTTATATTTGACGAAACCACTGATATTTCCCATATTTCACAATTAAGTTTGTCTTTGAGATATGTTGATAAAGCTAATAATGTTCATGAACAGTTTATTGGTTTTAAAAATTATCATGATTATGTTTATGATAAACTTACAGAAGATAATGTAGAACCAAAATTAACTGGTATTGTTCTGGGAAATGCTGTTGTATCAATTATGAAAGACATGTCGTTAGACTTAAATAACTGTGTAGGGATTGGAACCGATGGGTGCTCAGTCATGACATCTGTAACACGTGGAGCAGGTGCTGAAATTCAGAAAAACTGTCCCAATGCTGTTTACAGTCCATGTTCAAACCATGCATTGAACTTGAGCATCTCAAAGTCATCTAATGTACAGTTAGTTAGAAACACTATGGGCATCATAAAAGAAGTTCTATCTTTTTTTAATACATCTTCCAAAAGAAGTTTTGTTTTAAAAAATTGCCTTAAATTTAAATAATTTAATATGTACACAAATATTTTAAAACTGTGACTCTGTTAATTATACTTTGTTTTTTGTATCTATAACTATGCCTATGTCGAATGCCCTATTGCATTAATGACATTACATACCCCGAGTTAAATCAGGTAAAACACCTAGTAATTGGTGTATTTTCATATATATATATATATATATAGGTGATGTATGAAGTTCGCCCCCCCCCCTATAAAAGGGTCTAGGGACGCCACTGGCTCAATCATTTATGCTACACTAAAATTATAACAGAAGCACCTCGAATCAACAAACAGGTGTCTCAAAGTCTCAATCTCTAAACTATGACTAGGTACACCAGAACATACTGTAACAACCACCTCAGATGGTTAAAACCACCAAACTGACACCAGTAGAACTAAAAGTCAAGATCTCCTCGCAAAATGTTCATTGTGCATTTTTGAAAATGGAAATCACCCCACCAACTACCGCGGGTGTCAAATCTTTAAACATTTACAGAAATTCTGAAATCACAACTTCCCTTTAAAAATAATACAAATACATATGAAATTAAAGATAATTAAAATTATAATACCAATACATTGTCTAAAGTAAAAACCCCCATACATCAGCACCTCTCACTCAAATAATTTAAATTAAAGCCAATCTTATTCACAGGTTACAAAATCAAACATGTACCAGACCTACCCAAATCATAATTAATTCCAGAAGAAACAAAACGAAAACGTTACATCCAAACTTACCTTGTATCAAATTATTTACTCATGTATACATGAATACATGTTTATAAACAGCTTTGTACACTACTTGTGTCCCAACATTTATTTAATTGGTAAGTTGTGTTTAGATCAAAAAGGACTTTAGGTCAAAAATAACGTAAAGTAAACGATTTTAATAAAAGACAAAGGACTAATATCCTTAGTATATACAATTAAAAATAACTCTGAAACTACTTATTCGAATTTTGATTTAGATATAAATATATCAACATTTACAAAAAACTCTTTATCGGATTAGAATAAAAGAGGTTGATTCTCATAGAAAAGAAGTTGTTATCACTACAGGACACTCCTTAAATGGTATAAAAAATCTAAGTATTTTAAAACATGGTCCTTAAAATATTAAAAAATTCTAAAAATCAAAATTTCAATATTGTTGGCCTAATTATTTTATGACTTATTATGAAGAACAAAATGAGAGTGGTAAAAATCTGTGCATTACCCTGTATAATATACTGAAATACATGCATTATTTAACGTATTGCTTCAATACATTTACGTTGTGGTGGTATTGTGGAAACCTAATATGAGGTTTAATGTTTACTTAATTATTTTTAGATTCTGAGTGAAACGATGAATATATTGATATTACAATGATATGTGTTTTTTTTAAATTTTTTTTTGTGTCTGTCATCGCCTTTTAGGACAGTAAAAATGATAAGATTTTCTTCAACAGTACCTTTTCTGATAGGAAAACAGATAGGAAAACATTGAATCTAGTTGGTACTTTGGGGGGGGGGGGGGTTGGTCAAAAGTAAAAATTTAACAGTAGTTTTCAAAAGCATCTTGAAAAACAAAAGACAAATTAAGGAAAAACTGGAATTTTTACGCAAAATCTGATTTCGAGAAAATCAATTTTGGTTTTTGGGGCAACTCTTATAAAAATGATCGTAGGTACATGAAATTTTGACTGAATGTTTATATTAGCATTTTCTACACACCATAATATTTTCCAAATATTTTGACTTATTTTGAGCTCTTGACGGACATTTTCAGTTTCCATTTTTTTTAGTTTTTTTTTCTATAATTATCAATAAAATTGTATTTGTTGGGAACAAAAGCTTAAAAATTTAATAGAAGGCTCCTAATATATTGTTTCAAAGGTAGATGAAAAAAATTAAAAATCCATGTTCACAATTTTTTTTTTATAAACATTTAAAGTTCAAATATTAACAAAATACATAAAAATGACCAAAATTTGCAAATTATTTTGAGTTAGAAATTCATAAAAAATGTTCTTTTTAAATTTAAGATTTTAAAATATAATACAAGATTCCTTATAAGATTATCTAATTTTAGCAAAAAAGAAAATGTCTATATAAGAAAGTCAAATTAAATTTTTATGAGCGTTTGAAATTCAAATTTTTACAACATTGGATATTCACTCGATTTCTCATATAGCTATTTTCTTATTTTGCTGTACCATAGTTAAATATTATTAGTTGGTACTTAATTTTAATATAGCATCATGTGTCGGCAATAGGTATAAGTATGTCGTATGATCCCGTGAATCGTAATAATTATAATAATATTCAAGTATGGAATTATTTTGGAATGTTTTTTTTTAAAGCCTTACGGACGTCGCACGCATTCCTCTCCCTCTGTGTAATAATAATTGTGTCAGAACAACACGATGCAATGTTATATTATTTATTTCTGTATAAGTTATTAATTTTTTTGAAGGCAATATTGTATCATTACACCACATATTTAGCTGTTTTATTAGTCGTACGGCAAAAAAACATACAATCCTCAACACGGTACACTTTTTTGCATTCCAGATGGTCATTTACGTATCAAGATCCTGACTACATATTATGATGTATAATTTGGTGTAGTGCAATTTCGATAAAACAATCTCAACGATATGAAATGTCACAATCATATTATTATCACATGGTTGTATGGTACCCACTATGAGTTATAACGTTCGTTTTTCACCTACGAATTTTGACTGATATAGTTATTAACTGTGCAGTTTAGGTTATAATTTTACCATTAGATGATAACATCATTATCGGTATATGTATTAGAAGACAAATATTTGATGACGAATATAACATTTTGTGCAGTTATAATAATGACGTGTCATTTAAAAAAGAAGACGTTTTTATTTATTTTTTTATGATGACCTACAATCTGAATATAATATCGTACAACCCGGTGAATTCGAATTCACAGAAACAATATCATGATTTTTCAAAAATAACGCCATCACATTCTTTCTTGCAAACAAGAACATTTCCTCGTATCTTTGATATTATTTTGCAAATATGTATTTCTATATATTATAATAGGAATATATAACCATTTGTTTACGAAAAAAGTTATATAGGTACACTGCTATAATATGTATGTATATATGTTTTATACTCTATGTGATCACATCCCGTACAATCTCATAGGTGAATTTCATAAAGTAATTTAATTAAGTAGAAAAAAACTCTAAAAACTGGAGTTGTACCAAAACTAATTTTTGCGAGATATGAAGTTAAAAAAATTTGTTTTACCTACGAAATTTAGACCTTGTCATGTCCTTACAACGTAAGCACATGATGACATTGCTATTTTCATGAAAACCTAAAAGAACAGACTTTTGTAATATATTTAAGTATATTATTATAATAGAAGTTTCTAAAAACTAAATTTAAGACAATATAGTTACCAAAAATATTCATAAATTGTGTCACCGTTATTATAATAGATATTATGCTAATTTATTAAAATGAGTATTCCAGTCTTATGCTCATATCGTTAGACTTTGTGTATCATCAGAAGTTATTTAGCAATTTGAACAAACTTGATTTTATATTTAACGACTTTCACAGTTATTACATTTTTAGCCATTTATTAGTTCAAAGTTTTAACTTTAAAGTACATAATTCGCATTTTACTTCAAGTTGAAACAACAATAAGATATTTTTATTCTTTGTTCATTTATTAGAAAACAAGACATATTTTTTTCATTGAGACTTGAGAAAGTTAAAAAACTGATATCAGTGCCTCTATAATTTGTAATGTATATTTAAAATAAATAAAATATAGGTGTATGCGAAATAATACAAAATGTTCTAATTTAAGGCTTTAACTGGAAATAGTACACAACTTCATATTATAATACGTATAAGGGGATTTGGCCACTACTAAAAATGTATTTAGTATGCTTTAGGAAATTAGTTTTAAGATTTAGAACAAACTATAAAATCATTCACCGAAGTATAAACTTAGAACTTTTAAATATTGAAATATTACTAATTCAATTTTTTTTTTTAAATTTTAAGACTTATAACGTTTTCATACTTATAAATTACTATCAGAATTATCCGGCTTCGCCGGATGTAAAATATTTTTGTATCACCTTACACCTCCCTATTCCAGTCTATAATCTCTTGACGAAAAATATCTTAGTCCTTTAGAGTTTATTTTTTATTCCTGGAAATTCAGCTACTGCTTCCCGCTGCTTTCTCCTGCAGAATTTACCAATGGGAAATAATAGTAAGTAGGAACTTAAGGATAAAGTAATGTTTTGCCAAAGTTGTCACTTGAACATAGTTCGAAAAATGCCATTAGTTGAATTTTTAATATTTTCGATTGTTTCACGAACATTTTCAGGTTTAAAATGTACACATTTAATGTTTAATACCTTTGTTAATGTAGTTACAAACATATTAGCCATGATTACCAAAATAAATATTGATAAGCAATATTATAAACGCGCGTCGAGGTTAAATAATCGTTAAGTTTTCTGAAATTTTCCAATTTTGTGAGCAATTTTCTTAATTTTTCTTTCCGTAGTTAATCGGTAGTTTTTGAGATTATCCATTTCAAAGTTTATAAGTATATAAGTAGTTTCTTGTTTATATATATTATATAATATGTATAAAAATAAAGAAGATAAGGTATAAATGTATGATATTATATCATCAAAATGTCCTCAAATTCAACTCAGTGCTTATTATTATGTTCACGTAAATATTTCTAAAAATGTGATGATTTATTGATATCTAAATATAACTTTGTATACAATGGTCTGTAAATATGTGAGTTCAATTGTAGACCGTATATTATTATATATATTATATACAGGAGATAATTTAACAGCAAGCTTCTATAACACGGGGTAACATTCTTAACCAAGAGTTTGTAGATTGGTAGTCATTGTTCCGTGAGATGGCTCTGAATTGTAAATTATTTTTTTTCTCAAAAAAAATGTAAAACATTCATTTT